CTGCACACGCTGGCCCCCATGCTGCTTATGTCCCTGAGCGGAGACTGCACACGCTGGCCTCCATGCTGCTTATGTCCCTGAGCGGAGACTGCACATGCTGGCCTCCATGCTGCTTATGTCCCCACACCCTTGACTGCTTCCCCAACACGGGGCTGCATCCAAAGGAAGTCTAGGTCCAGAGGTCTCAAGCTCTGACATAGGCCATGCATGGTGGCTCACGCCTGTAATCCCAGCACTTTGGGAGGCTGAGGTGGATGAATCACTTGAGGTCAGGAGTTCGAGACCAGCCTGGCCAACATGGCAAAACTCTTTCTCTGCTAAAAAATACAAAAATTAGCTGGGCATGGTGGAGGGCGCCTGTAATCCCAGCTATTCAGGGGGCTGACGCACGAGAATCGCTTGAACCCAGGAAAATCGCTTGAACCGCAGAGGTTGCAGTGAGCCGAGATGGCACCACTGCACTATAGCCTGGGTGACAGAGCAAGACTGTGTCTCAAACAAACAAACAAACAAACAAACAAACAAACAAAACCCTGACCTAGAGAGGGTTTTAGAATCCTTTTCACTCTGTTTCTGAAGCTCCTCATCTCATCACACACACCACAGGGGAAACTGATCAATTGAAAAGAGGCGGGAGGCCTTCCGTACAGTGAGGAGATGGTGGGGAGAGAAAGGAAGAGGCACCCGTGTGGTCCCCCAGGGGCACGTTGCTTCGTGGGGATTGGCCTTGCCTGCGGTGATTCGTCTTCGATGCGCCCTGTGGCCACAGCGCTTCACGCATGTGTCTGGGGCTGGAGCTTGGGAGAGAAGGGGGATCCCACCTTTGGCAAGGAATTGCCATTGTTTTCATCCTGGGAGTGGAAGTCCGTCCCTGACACTTGAGATGAAGGACCAGGCCGACTTGTCAGGACTGAGCAGAAGGCGGCACTTTGCAATCCCTGCATTGCCGGTGCCTCTGCTGGCCTTGGTGGCTTAGTGGACCACTGGGCCCCTAACAGACGCTGTGCTCATAGGAGGAGGTGGGAAGGACTAGAAAAACACATTCTCTGTCTCATGAAGAAGGAAGAGCGTGGGTCGCGGTAACTTCACCCTCCCTCCTGTGTGACCTCATGTGGCCTCTTGCAGCCTGTGGGTCAGGCAGCGGAGGCTGTTCTGAGCTTGATATTGGAAGAGAGTGGGCCACACGGCTGGTAATGGACTTCTGAGGTCAGTCACTGGGCAGATGCGTCAGGCCCTTGTCACTGGGAGGACGCCCTTATGGCCCAGGCTGCCTGGACCAGGCCCTGCAGCAGGTGTCTGAACCTGTGACATTCTCGGATGGTGCGGAGCTGCAGACACCACTGGTGTTCAGTACGAGCAGCATGGGTGGCATCTGTTAATGGCAGTCATGAACATGACTTTCCTTTGAGTCTTGCGGCTGCTGTTAGCTGAGCAGCAGTGAGGAGTGTTTGGAGCTTTCCTTAACCGGCCTCTGTACTTTTGCTAAAACTGCCGGAACTCTACACGTGAGGGCAGCAAAGCTATTTCACGTTTTTCTGCGCTGTGAATTTCTGCCCTGCGTTTCCTGGCGTCCTGTTGCAGAACTGAGTTATGTTCTTAAAATTACGTCTTTCCTGGTGTTCCCTTCTTTTTACGTTGGTTCCCTGACAGATGTGACGTAGTGAGATAGCAGTTCCTTGTCTGGTCTACAAATTGTGATGCGTGATTCACATGCTGAGGCCCGCAGGAAGGGGCCTTCTGCTCCGTGGGAAGGTCCCGGCTACAGCAGGAATTTTCTCGGGAGTTGTGGTTACCCATCCCCTGTGATTTTAATCACAAAGTGCTTAGCTATGGAGGTGAAATGGGGTCGCTGAGCAGGTCTGGGGTCATTTGTTGTCAGGAAGCAGGAGTGAGGCTGCCCGTCAGTTTTCTCCTTGCCGTCCCAGCCCGGGTGCTTGGGGGTCAGAGGCTGCAGGGCTGGGCGTGGCCTCTCCTTGTCCTCACCTCCCCACCTCCTCCCCTTTCGCCCTCCTCACCGTGACGCCTGGCTTTCGCTCCAGGGCCGACCTCTGAGGAGAAGCACATCCCTGGTCGTCTTCGCTTTCTCCTTTCCTCTGCGTCCGCCGCTTGTTAGAACCGTCAGGTGGTGGCAGCTGAGAGACTGTTTGAAAACACCTCCCGGCCTGACAGCCGTTCTAGGGGTTATGAGGCAAGACAGGTCCAGAAACCAGCACGGGCTCAGGGCCTGGGCCCCAGGGTTAGGCTGGGGGTAGGATGAGGTGGGGGGTAGGATGAGGTGGGGGGTAGGATGAGGTGGGGGGTAGGATGAGCTGGGGGGTAGGATGAGGTGGGGAGTAGGATGAGGTGGGGGTTAGGATGAGGTGGGGAATAGGATGAGGTGGGGGGACAGAAAAGCTCTTACAGGTGTATGAAATAAAGGCTGTTTGCCTCGTCGCCTACCTTAGTTTCGTATCAGAGCAGCACACGCTGCCGACATTGAGACGCCTGAAGACCAGCATCGGCGGTCTCAGAAATCAGCATCCAAGCAGCCATTGTGAGTTTAGACAAAACTTTTCAAATCTGTCAGAACAAATGATCGACTTATATGTGTGTGCTCAGGGATTTTTTTTTCACTTTTTTCTTCAACGTTGATGGCAGTTCTTTAAAATCCGGATGCATTAGCATGGAGTCCACAGATTTCTGTACTGTAGTTTATAATACTAACTGTTACCATGTTCTTCTCTGATAACATACACTCACAGATGCACACATGATGTTGAACTTCTTAGTTTACGAAATGCAAGGTTTTACGCTGCCTGGCCGAGGCATTCAGTCACACTCCAAACCTCAGCACCACACAATACACGCTCCTAGCAAACCCACACCTGCACCTCCTGAATCTAAAATAAAAGTTGAACAAAATGGAACGCGAGGCTTTAGAGCAGCTGCCTTCAGAAGCCACATTGAGTCTACTGAAGGGAGATGGTGTAGCCGACCTCAGGCTCTGCGGCCTCACTGTGGCCAGGAGAAGCCTCCTGGCGCGCCCCTTATTACTTGACAAATGCTGTTCCGGTTGTGTTGTATGAAAGTACCAGATAAGTGGCACTCAGTCAAAACTGATACTAACAGTAGAAATAGTCACCCTCTCTGGTCATTCCTGTTAGGTCACGATGGGGCAGTGAACACCGTGTGCTGGAGCCAGGACCGGAGGTGGCTGCTCTCTGCAGCCCAGGATGGGACCCTGCGGGTGTGGTCAGCTCGTGGGGCAGAGCTCGCACTGCTTCTGGTAATGGACGGTCACCTCTGCCATGGGCAGTCATTTCCGAAGGAGCTGAGAGCTTCTCAAAAGTCTCATTCTTTTACCTTAACAGGAGATGAGGAAAGGGACATAAGCCAAGAGTTTGCTTTAAAAAAGTTATTGATTAAAAGTTATTGCTTCAATGCAATAAACATTATTGATTAGTTTCTTAAATGTGTGTCTACATGTATATATTCACACGCACGCAATAGGCACACGCATATATATGCATACACATGTGCACACTTACTTGCCACATATTCACATGCACGCAGTAGGCACACGCATATAGATGCATATGCATGTGCACACTTACATGTTTGCCACATATTCACACATGTGCAATAGGCACACATGATATAGATACATACACATGCGCACACTTACATACTTGCCACATTCACACACACACAGGCACACACGCATATAGATGCATGCACACGCGCACACTTACATACTTGCCACGTGCGCACATACATTCATATGCTTAAATCTATCCTTATGTTTGTGATGGTCTGCGAATGCCACATGATTAATACTGAAACATTTGAAGAATTTAAAATATTGATTCAATGTGATTTCGTAGACCAGAAGCAAAATGGCCAAGGGGCTATTATGTGGGGGAAGTATATTTTAGGAAGAAGAGTGACTTGTTTTGATGAACTTACAGGAGATCATTTGGGAGCGGAACAGGAAAGGAGAGACAGGAAGATGATAACCTTATGACTAGGACAGGGAAAGAAAAGGAAATGGTAGGAAACTCACCTTCAAATCATGAAATTATGAGCAGGTGACTTGCAAAGAACGTAACATAAAAAGCAGTCGCATTTTCAAAGATGTTGGCATTTATTTTCTATGGGTCTTTTATAGAAAGGGGATTGAAGATGAGAAAGACAAGAAAGGCAGTGTCAGTTAAGGAAGACCCAGGGCCTCTCTAAAGGTGAAGCATTTGGCAGCAGCTTCAGGAAGTAGTTTGCTGAGAGCTGTGAATGCTCTGTGTCATAACACGTTTGGTTGTGAGGTCTAAATTTGAGAGCAGACACCTCAGAACTACATTTTAAAACAGTTTAAATTTCAGCTTTAATAAAATCCTTGCTACTTAGTATGTTTACTGCTAAGTTTCAATTCTTTTAAAGTTGTTAAATGACTGGAATTCAAAGCATTTATTACAGTAAAATTTTAATCAGATAATACCTTTCAGAAGTAGTAGGCAGAAACAAAAATTGTAGATTGGGTCTAACAAAGTATATGTACGCATTTAGAATAAACAGATGTTGGGTTTTAAGAAGAAATAATTTTATGTTTAGAGCAATAGTGTTTTTGTTAACATTTATCGTATTGACAGTAATTACTGATTTGCATTACAGGGCAGGGACATGTTTTCTAAACCGATACAGTCTGCACAGTTTTATTATATAGATGCCTTCATATTGTTATCTTCTGGCCCTGAATTTCAGCTACTGAAGTATCACATTGACACTTGCAAAGATGAGATGAAGAGGTAGGCACCCCTCCACCCTGTGCATTAGTTTTAGATCAGAGGAAGCCGTTTCAATAATGTGACGTTGAAAAGGTATTTACATTTTAAAAAGTTGCCCCAAATTTAATAATGACCTCATATCACTAAACTCCTGATGAGAGGGAATTATCCAGATCCTACGCATTTTAAACCTTCCTTTGTATTACTACGTGCGGGGCCTTTGGCATGACAGAATGCAAGAATCTAGGGGATTTGAGAAACCTCAGTTATCATCTCGGCTCTGCAGCTATTGAAGTGATGTTATGTGGAACAAATACTATTGATAATACAAAGTTAAATTATGAACTATTTCAAATATATACATATATATGGGGAATAATAAATATGTCCTTAGCTACACTTAGCTTGGACAAGTATTAACATTTCACTGTCTTTGTTGTCCAGAATTTTTAAAGAAATAAAATATTACAGAGGGAATTAGGAACCTGTCTCCCAGTCCTGTCCGCTTCCCTTTTCCCTCCTTTTGAGATTGGCGTATTTGCTTCTTGGTCGTAGTTTTATATTTTTGCTGTATCTCTATGTATTCATGTCATTTTTTTTTTTTTTGAGTGTAACATAAGCACACCTTTCTTAATCAAAGTTATGTTTCTGAGATGTGTGACTTCAGTTTGTTAATAGGGGCGTGTGCCCTGCGGTCCGAATGGGCACCGCGTCTGCCTGCTTCTCTCATGGAGGGACGTCGGGTTGGGACCTGCAAACGGTTGGGTCTCCTAGCCAATAGACGGGCTTGCAGGGAATCCCTGGTCTCAATGAGAGCGTCCCCACTCTCATCTGTCCCAGGTCACAGCTTCCCAGGAGTGACTTCTGGCCCGTGCTGGGGCAGGTTGTACGCAGCGGAAGGGCTCCAGGACCCAGCAGCTCCCTCCTGTGGCCCCTCCCTCAGCCTTGTCTTCAGAGATGCCTGGGACTTTCAGTCCTAAAGTTTGTTCGTTTGTTTGTTTTTGAGACGGAGTCTCGCTCTGTTGCCAGGCTGGAGTGCAGTGGTGATTTCTTGGCTCACCACAACCTCCGCCTCCTGGGTTCAAGTGATTCTCCTGCCTCAGCCTCCCGAGTAACTGGGATTACAGGTGCCCCCCACCACACCTGGCTAATTTTTGTACTTTTAGTAGAGACAGGGTTTCACTATGTTGGTCAGGCTGGTCTCGAACTCCTGACCTCATGATCTGTGTGCCTCAGCCTCCCAAAGTGCTGGGATTACAGGCGTGAGCCACCGCACCTGGCCTAAAGTTTATTTTTACTTACCAGGAGTGAGCTTCATAGGTCAGCTCACGTAGCAGGCCTCCCATCTCAGCTGGCACAGCTGAGTTTCCCCTGAGAGTTGGCGGCTTCTCTTCTTGTTCTTGCCTCCTCTTTCTGACCTTGTGGGACTTCCTCTTAGAGATCACTTTGCAGCCACTTCAGCTGGGTTTCGGGAGGTAGCGAAGCTGAAGCATGTGTTCAGTTATATGTAGCGGGAGATGGGCAGGTTTTTCTAAGCATACACGGAAATACCCTATAGTAAAAGGCTGGTGCATTTGACCACAGACTGAAGAAGGAGGAGGAGGTGGGGGATCTTTCGTATGTCAGAAATCACCACAAATAATTAGATGTTAATAGAAAAACAGGTTTTTTCCCCTAAAGAAAAATCAAGGTAGCTAATTCACTTTTTCCCTCAGTATCATAAAATGTGACTTTTAAAGTGATATGAAAACTTTCTTTTCATGTTTAATGTTTTTAAACATAAGATATTTAGTGTAGTGGGCCGGGCGCGGTGGCTCAAGCCTGTAATCCTAGCACTTTGGGAGGCCGAGATGGGCAGATCACGAGGTCAGGAGATCGAGACCATCCTGGCTAACACATTGAAACCCCGTCTCTACTCAAAAAAATACAAAAAACTAGCTGGGCGACGTGACGGGCGCCTGTAGTCCCAGCTACTCCGGAGGCTGAGGCCGGAGAATGGCGTAAACCCGGGAGGCGGAGCTTGCAGTGAGCTGAGATCTGGCCACTGCACTCCAGCCTGGGCAACAGAGCCAGACTCCGTCTCAAAAAAAAAAAAAAAAAAAATTTAGTGTAGTGGAAGGAAAGCAAGAAGATTGATCATCTTGATTTTCTCTTCCAGATATAAACAGAAGAGCAAGTCCAAGCTGATTTGCAGGCTCTCCACGACGGGTGCAGTAGACATGACCAGTCTATCAGCAGTCAACGACTTTTATTCCCGTATCCTTTCTCCCAGATCCTGGTAGGGTTTTACGCCCTGAGTGTCATTCCTCTGGCGGAGGTGTGTGCTGAGCATCTCATGAGTGTCAGGCATTGTGTGAGGCTCCGGGAATGCAGGGACCCTTCTCATGGAGCTCGCTGTCCTTGTGTTAATTGTACGTGTTAATAATTCATCTCAATATTCAGAAAGGACCTCAAAGGAAAAAGAAACCTGAGTGCCACATAGCTCATGCCATCCAGCAGGTGGGCTGACCTGGCACTTCTGCTCTGAACTTTGTTGACTAATGTCTAGTAATTTAGTTATTCTATCTCATCTGCAGAGCTGGCAAAAATCATAGCAGTTGCTGTTCAAAATAATATGAAATGGAATCCAGAACTTTAATTTTTGAGATTTTTATGGCTAACACCATTGCTTTTAATTTTCAAAGTTGATTTTAATTTATTTAGGGGAAAAGCTCCAGATCTTTAGGAATTCATTGTATAAAGTTTTAATTTACTCAAAGTTCAATCTAAGTTGAACTCTATTGGAGGGTTTTGTAGTTGAACTAAAATAAAGTGTTAAGAGGTTGTGGTATGTTTTAGTTAGAAATGTGGTAATTTCATGCTAGAATTGGTGCTAAAATACCTAGCAGAAATAAGAAATATGTCATTAGGATTACTTTAGCTTAAATGATGGTTTCTGGAATACAAGGATACTAGAGTCAGGAGTAGTCCAGCGCTAACACCAGCATTACGGGTCTCTTGACTCCAGTGCACCTGTGTTCCCACCACATATACTCATTACTGCAACATTCAGGGCTGAGCATTGAGGCTTGGGGGGTGCTGGTGGTCACACGAGCCCTAAATGTATACATTGCTCCTCATAGGTCAAGTTTATGAAGCATGTCACGGTCAGCTGCCAACATGGCACTGTCTGGGTTGTGTCTCCCCTCGTGAGACCTGCCCCAGGTGCTGCCACCCACTCTGTGGGTCTGTCTAATCTTAGTTCAGTCCTTTCTTCTGAGTGCAGTGTCTACATATTCAATTATTTGACATCTGATTTGGGTGTTTCATGGACATCTCAAATGCCACGTATCTAAAGCTGGAACTCCCACCTCAAAACAGGCACTGTGGTGGTCTCCCTTTCCCTAAGCAGCCCCCCCGCCCCCGCCCACCTGCTCTTGCCAATGCCTGGGGCCAGATGGGGTGGGGCTGGAGTGGGCTCAGGACGTTTCAGGCGGAACTTCAGAAATTCTTAACTAGTCGTCCATTCTTGAGTCTTCTAATATTCCAAAGTTTTTGTTAGTAAAAGAGAGGGACTGTCCCTTCCCCATGGGTACCAGCGTTGAGAGGAGCTCCCTAACTGGATTATCGCAGACATCGTTCTTGCAGCTGGCCGGAACAGGACCGTGGAAGTGTTCGACCTCAACGCCGGCTGCAGTGCAGCGGTGATAGCAGAAGCCCACTCGCGGCCTGTCCATCAGATCTGCCAAAATAAAGTGAGTCAGTTTTTGGATAATATACATCATCTGTACAACTATGTGCTTAAAGCATTTCACAGATACAAATGTATGATGCCATTTAGCAGTGTTTGCTACCAAATTCAATGTTAATTTTTATTGATTATTAATTATTCGAAGCCTCGATGTTTGGCCCTAGGACATACTTTAGTATCATGTTGAATGTTAAGTTTTCTACTTTTGTGTTTGACTATTTTATGGGCTCATACTAAGATTTTACTAGGAAAACATTCTCACATAAAACTTGATAGGGTTGCATATTTTCGGCAATAGTGGATTGCATGGTAGACACATTGGTTCTATGGTCTGTGGGGCAGCCTTGCTAAATCAATAGCTTTTTTTGAAGGTGGAGGCTGTTGGATACAGCCAGTCCATTTTGACAGAGACAAAGTTTACAAATATCCACAGCGATGGGTTCAAGGGTTGGCATTACAGGAGAGACATTTGATGAGTTCATTGTCTGATAGCTGCACGGTTCAAAAGACACACTTGGTTACCCAAGAGGGGGTCTAAGTCTTAGGAACAAAACTGCATTTCTTAGGACTAAAACTGTAATTTTGGTTGTTGATATGCCCGGAAAGGTTTTCCAAGTCAAGGATTTAACTTACAATGCATCTGGCATTTATATTATGATTCAGGGTATCATTTTGCTAAGTGAAGTATTGCAATGTTGGTTAAACAGACTTTGTTATCCACGGGTTAACACATTTTGTACCTTTTTTTTTTTTTTTTTTGAGAGAAAGTCTCACTCTGTCACCTAGGCAGGAGTGCAGTGGCACTATCTCTGCTCACTGCAACCTCTGCTTCCTGGGTTCAAGCGATTCTCCTGCCTCAGCCTCCTGAGTAGCTGGGATTACAGGAATGAACCACCATGCCCGGCTAATTTTTTTTGGTATTTTTAGTAGAGATAGGGTTTCATCATGTTGGCCAGGCTGGTCTCGAACTCCTGACCTCGTGATCAGCCTGCCTCAGCCTCCCAAAGTGCAGGGATTACAGGCGTGAACCACCGTGCCCGGCCCACATTTTGAGTCTTTAAATTTCTGTTTAACAGGACAGGTATGGTCTGATTATAAAGTTTTTAAATCAGTTCAAATTGGAAAGAGCAAATATTCTAGGCTGTTAAGTTAAATTACATTGAAGCAGATGCGTTCCTGCATCTCTTCTGGATAAAGGGGAGATGGAGGTGTCAGGGCCACAGGAAGACTTTGTTAATGGGTGCAGCATGAGAGACCCCGGGATTCAGAGGCGCTGTGTCCAGGAAGATGGTCTCCCTACATGTCGGTCTGGATGACTCTTCAGAGAGGCAGATCCAGGGACTTGGCAGTGTGGGGTAGTCAGAGCTTTGGAGGTCAGGAAGACGCCTGGGGAGGCTGCCTGCGGAGGCAAAGCCGACCTCCGTGCCCTCCCTGTGGGGCAGCCTTGGTTGGAGAAGTGGGGGTTTAAAGGCTCTGATAGGCCTCTTTATCTTGCCTTCCTTTTAATCTTCCACCCGTCCACCACCCAGTTCATCAATAGGACATTTCAAGTTTCAATAGGAGAAGGCTTTTCTGGTTTGAATAACACCATGGAAATACCAGCTTGCGGAGAGTCGTTGGAGAAAAGATTATTCTTCTGCATTTTCTCTTTTTGTTTAGATGCTTCCTGCATATAAACCAGAGCAAACATGTTTTTAAACACTGCAATGGGTCTGTCAGATGAATGAAGGAATCGCTTTGAAGAATTCTGTAACTTCTTTATGAGGCTATTAAAATGGCACACCCCACAAACCAAGTGCGAATTAGTGGAATCAGTGCTGTGTGTAATACTCCAGGTTTCTATGTTTTCTGGGAAAGCTGTGAAGGAAAAAGAAGTCAGTTTGGTAATTGACAATGAGAATAGGCAGCACTGTTTGGTATTTGAGAGCCGTGATCTGATGCTACTAATTTCGCAGTAAGATCTGTCAAGATTAGGCAAAGATTTGATTATTAGATTTTATATATTTCTGGGCTTTTAAATTTAATAATTGAGTTATTAACTTTTAAAATGATTGTTAGCCTAATACCCGTCTTATTTATTTTTTCTTCTTTCTTCTTCTTCTTTTTTTTTTTTGAGATGGAGTCTTGCTCTGTCGCCCTGGCTGGAGTGCAGTGCCATGATCTCAGCTCACTGCAACCTCCACCTCCCGGGTTCCAGCGATTCTCCTGCCTCAGGCTCCCAAGTAGCTGGGTTTACAGGCACGTGCCACCACGCTTGGCTAATTTTTGTACTTTTAGTAGAGACGGAGTTTCACCATGTTGGCCAGGCTAGTCTTGAACTCCTGACCTCGTGATCCGCCCGCCTCGGCCTCCCAGAGTGCTGGGATTACAGGCGTGAGCCACTGCGCCCAGCCAACCCATCTTATTTTTTAGGTATTATGATTCCTTTTAAATTCAAGTGCAGCTTAATGAGATATCAATAGCTAATATTTGGATGTAGCACGTTAAAGTATAAGTCTGACCTACTAAATTTATTTAGTGAAACGTGCACGCAAAGACATTTGACTTTAAGATACCCGAGTGCAGAGTAGGGTTTGCACCGTCTTTGTGTCTGATCTTGGTAGTACCTAGAACCTGGAATCTGCTCACTTGACATGCGCCGAATTGAACTGTGACTTGCTGTTACCAACAGAAAGCAAAGGATTCGATTCTTTGTACAAGAAAGTAGATGTAAATCTAGAGAAGAAACGGTTTCTTAAAAAGACCCGTCAGCATGTAGATTGCAGAGGTTAAAGTTTGACAAATAGTATTTAAAATTTGTTGATGTATTATTCTCAAAACGCAGTGTATAAAAATTTATCTAAAGATAAAGATTGCTAACAAGAAACGTCTCTCCGGAGATGTTATGTAGTTGTCTGTCTGGTCAGTTTTTCTAAAGTCTGTGAGTCTTTAGATAATACAGTTAAGTGAGAATTGGCTAAATTTCCCAAATATCGTCATTCTTGAGTTTAAAAATTTCAGTTGTGAAGATAAATGAATCTTATACGTGAAATTTCTTTCATGTTGTAAATTTTACATTTTTTTTTTTTTTTTTGAGGTGAGGTCGCGCTCTCGTCGCCCAGGCTGGAGTGCACTTGAGTGATCTTGGCTCACTGCAACCTTCGCCTCCTGGGTTCAAGCGATTCTCCTTCCTCAGCCTCCCAAGTAGCTGGGATTACAGGCATGTGCCCCCATGCCTGGCTAAATTTTGTAGTTTTAGTAGAGAGGGGATTTCACCATGTTGGCCAGGCTGGTCTCAAACTCCTCACCTCAGGTGATCTGCCTGCCTTGGCCTCCCAAAGTGCTGGGATTACAAGCATGAGCCACTGCTCCCAGCCAATTTTACATTTAAAATATGTTTCTTACCATGCTTTTTGACACTTGCTGCTTCTTGTCTCAAACATTGTCAATTATTAGAAAAAATATTTCCTAGTTCATTTAATTTTTGTATTGGTTGTGCATGACTCTTATTAAAGGTGGTCATTGCAAAGCCAATTATAATTTATTTTTGGTGTTTGGAAAATGGTCTGTCAGCATTTCCATTATAAATCCCTGTTTTCTTTCTCTTTTTGTTCTTTTCTTTATGGGGTTTATGACAGAGCCATGAAACTTGGTCTAGATTAAAACTTGGCCTATTAGAGCTCAGTCTGAGATTTTTTTCAATATAGTTCCCAAATTTGTTTTAAATTGTTTCAGATGTTTAGGTTGCAAATGCAAAATATAATTTCAAAGTTTTCAATGCTTTCTAATTTATAACAAAAAATAACATGTGAGGTTTAAGATAATGGTAAAGATAATTCTTTTAACTTTAGCTAATCAATTTTCTAATATTTTCAAGAGAATTATTTTGGAAAATGATATGATGCTATTTGGTATGATCTTGCAATTTTGTTTCCTTTCCTGTCTGTTCCCATTTCATAATAGAAGAGTTTCTAACCTTTTGCATATATGAAGCTTTTCTCTGTTAAAGGGTTAAATGTATGTAAATCTCTTAGCATGTGCCAAGTGCACCTGCCTGGTCACTGTGGAGGCTCCCCGTGCACACCGCCAAGGGAGGAGGATGGAGGCGCTGGGCCTGGCTCGCCTCGGGAGCCTCTGGACAGCAGGCATAGTGAATTCCACAGTCTGATACCTGTTTTTCCTCTCTTCCTCTGGTGCTAATTTCATTTTGGCTTCTTTTGGGTATTATCTTTTATTTCAATAACTGAGGAGACTTGAGGAGCCAGATGAGACTGTGTTTACATTTAACTTTTTTCTGGATTTTAAAATATGTTGTATTGGAAGCAGCATATTAGATTTTTTAGAATGCTTCAAGCCCTAAAATAGTATTGACTTGGAGAATGAAGATACAGGAAGTGAATTGGTAGCATAATTAAGATTTGTTTTTAGAAAGGTGTTTATATTTTGTTGGCTTGATTGTAATACATTTATTTTCAAGACTTAAAGCGTCAAATTTCATTCTTGTCCCATTTAATTTACTGTAATGAACATTGCTGGTTCTAAATATATGTTAGAAATCAGCAATGATGATGGTGAGGAGTTAACGAGGAAATCGTGAAGGACTGTTACGAATTACAGTGATGTTGGAGGACCGGTCATGAATGATGGCAACTGTGGCCTTTCAAATCAGAACTCTGCTCTTCTTATGAGGAAATGAGAAATGTGCCGTCAGGAGAAGGGCAGCTGCTGATGTGTTACAGTGAGGACTCTTTAGAGTCCAGGTTTGCAGCTCCTCGGAGGCACAGGCACTGCCCAGGGTGCCGTTGGCGTCCACAGCAGAGCATCCTTGTGCCCAGTCTGCCGGGAGACTCTTCTGCCTTTATCTGTTTGACACACTGGATGACTGCACGGCTTCTTGAAGGGCTGGTTCTGTGTGTCTAAAAAACACTGCAGTGAAAGGGGACCGTTTCGGCACGCAAGTGCCCTATTGTGGGGCAGCCGCCTCATCTGCTTACTCACGGATGTGGAGTGAGTGCGTTCTGAGCT